TGGTGGCAAAATTTGTTTATTTACAGCGGCGTGCATTTTGGCATTATGCGTTTGCAATCGTTGAACGAATGTCATTGCATTTTCGCCGGGAAGTTGACGAAGTCTTTGGAGATCTTGAATTAATGAAGTCAAGTCTCTGGAATCGCCAAAGTGGGTATCTAAAAGATGTCTAACTTCTTCCCAAGTAAGTGGGTTTCTCGAATTCACTAGCTCTGCAGCACGTCCACGTAATTTATTTTTTATGTGAAGTGTTACTAGTAGTCGTTGTTCGTCGACTGCCATTCTGTAAGCGGTATTACAGGCTTGTAAAAAGGTGGTTAAAAATATTGGATTGCCATCATATTCCGGTATGATGGAAAATATTTCATTGAGTCTGTATGGCTCAATTTCTGCAGGTGCTCGTGGTGGTGCCACGTTTACGTTATCGTCATTCATTGCAATTGGTTTTTGTTGAAATGTGACAAAAAGGGGAACAATTGGATAATGGAACAGTTACTTGGTTGTTTCAAATTTGAAATGCGGTACGATTCAATATAGTACTTACAGGATCAGTATCATTGAGTTCGTCGTGTTCTCGTCGATTCTGCCAGGGGCTTCACCAGGTGTTCCTTCCACAGCTCTTCGAGTGATGACTCCCTCAGGTTGGTTCTTTGATTTCGGCAAAGGATTGGGATCCACCGTCACTAGTTAGGTCGTTTCCGTGTTCTAGCAACGTCACGAAATCCGTACGACTGCGCCAATTTGTTATCTCGTGGTTTTCGAAATAGACTTTTTAAAAACAATTTTATTTATTCCGGCATAGATTAAGTTTATACAATGAGCTTTATTTCAAGACTGACTTTTTGATACAATATAAAATGAATTTATATTAAAAATAATGCTGATGCCAGCGTCAGCAGATATTATATTCCATTTCTGCGGATGCTGACTTCAAGGTCAAGATCATGTTCTGAGGAATTGTTATCGCTGGTAAGTTGATACTACTGAGAACAATGGGAACTGATTTTAGCATATAACATGTATATCATCATAAGCGCTATTTAATTGCGAACACGTTGATATAGGGTTGTCTGCGAAAATTCCGGTCCGATTAGGGGTTTTTAATTTCAACGCGCGTGGAAGTGTGTGACAGAGAGATCCGAGGTAAGTATACTGTGTGATAATAAAGGACCCAACATCGCAGTCGCTTGTGATGGGACCCTGAATAGTAGAAAGTGCGCATGCTCGGTGTGTAAACTATGGAGGGTAGAGGTACCTCTACTACCCTTCATATAGTAAACAGTGCGTGTTATTTTGGAGCAACTGATATTTCAGTAGCAAAAAAAAATAATTAATTAATTACATAATAATTAAATATATTTAATATAGGTAATACTAATATATAAAAACAATATAATATCAGTATATTGCGTTATAACCATAATGATATATCTATAATCTATAATAGACAATAAAAATATCAAATACTTACTTTGAAATTTTTTTGCTCTTTCTGGAAATAGAAACAAAGTGGACCGCCAAAAATTTAAATTAAGAAATAACAAAAAAGATAGACTAGACATCTTGTATTACGATTTGAAATTTTATTAAAAAACAGTATAAATACAAAAATAATATTAATGAAAAATAAATTCTAATAAATATTTTCTATTCAATATCTATTCATCAGAAGTATCATTTTGACTCTCGAATTCGTCTGATTCATTAGATTCTTCCTCATTTGCTTCCATTTCGACAATGTCCTGGATTTTCAAAGGAGTTTGATCTCCGATAAAACCTGTTGGTTTTAAGAAATCATCAAAATGCCAACCATAGTTTTCAGGATTTGACTTCGCACACTTTCTACTATTCAGGGTCCCATCACAAGCGACTGCGATGTTGGGTCCTTTATTATCACACAGTATACTTACCTCGGATCTCTCTGTCACACACTTCCACGCGCGTTGAAATTAAAAACCCCTAATCGGACCGGAATTTTCGCAGACAACCCTATATCAACGTGTTCGCAATTAAACAGCGCTTATGATGATATACATTTTTTTTTTTTTAAATTATCCAATCCAGTGAAAGTAACTGGCATCGATATACCTGTGTTTACCTGACAACCCAGTAGTTCGCCCAGGTAAATAGTAGACACCCCAACGGCTGCACATTCTATACGTTTCATACTTTCAGTCAGGACACAATTTTTTTATTATCCTGATGTTGCAACATTTAATTAAAAATAATTTTTCGAAAAATAATTAAAAATAGTCTGCCCAGGATTTTTTTAGGCAACCCATTTTTAATATGTTTTCTAATATACTAAATTCATGATAAAATATATTTCGTTCTATTATCAGCTCGGTGAAGGTCGACTTAGGTTCGGATCTTCTACTAATATTATTGAACGCATAGTCGAGCCTGACGATTTATAGAGAAGCACGCAGAGCCGCTCTCGCGTGTCCACTTCAGTGGCGCACACTTATGTCACTTATTACATGAATCTGTCACCTGTCTTGATTATTTTTCCCAAACATATTGATCGTGTTTCATGGCCTACGCTATTTTTTTAAATTTTTGTAAAAGGGGATCCTTTTCATGCAAAAGCTTCAAAAGTTTCATCATTTCATGATAAAGTTGCAAAAAACCGCACTTAAAAAAGTTGGGGTAATTTTACCCATTTCTGGATGGAATTTTAAAATTATCATTATCGCACATTATTAGACATGAAATAATAAGCTGACATCCAAAATTTCATAATTTGTTTACAAGAGCTGTTTTCTCATTTTTGATCGTTTTAAATCTGCTGGTGAAGTATTGGGAAAGATTTCGGACCTACAACTTGGGGGGTCTGCAGTTTTAAAAATGCGCCATGGGTCAGGTTAAATTTTGAGAATCTGTCAGTCTCAGACTACACTGAATTTTGCAATTATTATGAAGACAAATGATTGTACAAAATGTTGTATTGCGTGCAAAATAAGTTATTAAAATTTTTCATAGCATAGCGCTTTCGACTATACATTAATCATCAATGCGTATAGGCGATTCATGCTAAGGAGTACTCCCTCTACCGTTGTCTAATATAACTAACGTATGGGCCATTGATTGCTCTGTTTGCATTAGTTTGCGTGTATTTTGTATGAGGAGTAGTTGTGTTTTAATTGTCTATAATTTTGTTTGAGAACTTCTATAAACGTTTAAAAACATGAGTCATCATTGTTGTGTACCTCATTGTTCATCTTGAGCAAAAAAATCCCGAGTATAGCTTTCATTCCTTTCAAAAATCAGGACAGTCTAAATTTGTATTTGAAACTAATAATTTGGGGAACAAGGAAGTGATCGGTAGGAGAAAGGTGTGGATTCATAACTTGAAGATTGGAAAAAGTGTAAAGTGTCTGAACATAATGAGATATTGTTCTTTACACTTCACTGAAAATTTACTCATACCTATAGGTATATTTTCAAATGTATATCTATTATGAATATAATACCTACTTCTTGAGGTGGTGGTAAAAGAACAAACAAATTCCAAACTGATTATATCTTTACTCATGAACAGTAGAATTTTTAAACAGTAAAGAATGTTATCAATCAGGGTTTCGATGATTATGTTGTAAAAAGTCGAGTAGAAACTGTTTACCTAAATTCACCTTCCAAAGAACACTTTATTCCCAAAAAGTTTGCTGGTTTTGTTTTAAAAATATCATGCACTATCAGGGGAATATCCCAGCTATATATTCGAATTGGAAATCAACATTCCACACAGGTTTTCATGAGAATTCTTGTTCAATAATGATAAAAACTTACAGCCTATGCATGTTGGTATATATAAAGTTCAACTAGAGGTAGGGAGGTTATCTAATGTTGAACAGAGATAATATAGTCCTCAATCAAAACCGAGATCAAAACACAGTAGACCGCTGGAAAATACAAAGTTCGAAAATAGACAAATAACAAAGCTGGACGTTTGAAAACTCAAAACGAAATGAACATAAACACCATTAACAAACAATGTAAACAATCCGCCAATGGACCATAGAGTAGTACCGACATTCGCCGTTCTGGCGCTACGATCTTAATCTCAGTCGCCTATAGTCAGAAAAATATCCTTGGTCCTGTTCACTATTATCAATATAATGGCTAAAGCAGATTAAGATGTGTTTCCCAAAATGAGATAAAATGCAGATTACATTATTTTAAGCAGCTGCCACGGCTGCGGCATACTGCCTTGTTATTATAAAGGCCCGTACAGGGTGATAATTGAAAAAGGAAAGTGATATTCTCAACGTCATCACTCTGTATCCCAGTAACGAAGGTTCAAGTTTCCTCGTTTACAATGGCGTATTTTGAAGTATCTGCAAAACGGAAAGCAAGATTTTATCTAATTATGTTTGTTTGAATGATATTGCCTCAAATAAAACAGTTTGAGAGATGAACATAAAATACTATCGGATACAATTTGAGATGAGTTGTATTTGGACAGATTATTTTTTTCAACAATTCTATGAAAAGACAATGGCAAATTTCATGAGTCATATCAATTCTACGTCCTTCTATTATAATTGATCTAACTAACACATGAGGTAGGTCGAAATAAACAAGATGGCGGACACTGGTAAATCAGATTTGTTTTGACATTTCAATGTAAACAAAGTTTTATTGAGGACCATGCAGTTATCATACGTACTATCACGATGGACTGCACAGCAACACAATTGAGTTAGCAAGACATAATTATGAGAATATATTCAGAACAGACTGGTATTCTGGGACTATTTCACGTTCATGAAGCATAAAAAGCAATTATTATTATTATACCAAACTAATACTTTTTTGAATACTATTATTCTTTTTCAAAGTGAATATTGGCTAATGGTCTGATTTTTTTGTTTCAGGCGAAAACAGACGAACTCTTGGCGAACGAAAAGCTATGGCTGGATTCCGAAAAATTGTGGCTAATGCACAGAGGCGGATTCGCCGCGGCCAGGAAGGAACCAGGGTCGAATCAGGAGCCGGGAAAGCTGAAGATAAAACTCGAATCGACAGGTGATTTCCTGTGCGTAGATGAAGACGACATAGAAAAGGTATGTTCAATTCGAAACGATATTTTATATGATACCGGATTTTAACGAAGCGATCCGAAAGCATACCAGTGTGCCCAGGAAACATATAAGAAACCTTACCAGACGACGGCACCTAGTGTTAGCTGAACATCGAATGTTTCAACTATCGATAGTTTCGATAGGTAAAAAAAACTATCGATACTACCGATAGTATCGATAGTTGAAACCCATGGTTGAAACACTATCGATATTTTTAAATTGATTAACTGAAATTAATAGAGGTTATGTACAAATGGAATGAAGTAGTAGTAGTAGGTGGGGAAGCTGTATAGCCAAGCAAATAGGCTCCGATGGGCCCTTTTTGCTAACCCCTGCTCTCCACATTTCTACGCTTCCTTCACCTAGATTTCCTTTAAGTATCTCCCTGACCTTCTGATGGAGGCCACTCTAATATATGATCAACTCTTCCTGTTGGAGTTTGCCGACTCCAAAGTTTTCAAATCTCAGCCTCCCGTTCGCCTCGCACTTGCCGAGAAAATGGAGTAACGTTTCTTCGTCTTCCCCACATCTGCGGCAAGTGGGATTGTCCTCTATCCCCATAAGTTTTAGGTGTCCGCCTAGCCTGTTGTGTCCTGTGAGTACTCCTATGAGGAGGCGGAGTACTTGGCGGTATCTGCCAAGCAGCCAGTCCTTCCTTGATTTGCTCGGACCGGCCACGAATTCCTTGGCCTGTCTGCAACCTGTGATATTCTCCTAGTACCTTGTCCGCCCATTTATCAAGGGCTGACGTAGTTTGGCTCCGCGGATCCGGCCCTAGCAAGTTCGTCTGCTGTTTCGTTCCCGGGACCCATACCAGTTCAACTTCCTTCGATTCGGCTAATATCGCATTTCCACATTCCTGTACCAATGCTGAGCTTGGTCTGGGATGACAGATAGCCTTGAGTGCTGCCTGACTATCCGAACAGATGTATATCTTCTGCTCTGGTCCCTCTTTCGCCCCTTGCCTCTCTGTTACGACCAGGATGGCGAACACCTCAGCTTGGAAAACTGTGGTGAATTTTCCTAGAGCGTAGCTTTCACGTATGTTTCTCCCTTCCAGATAGATCTCTGCGCCCGAGGTCTGTTTGTCAGTCAGGCGGAATCCGTCTGTGTAACATACTAAGCTTCCTATGGACTGAAACAAAAAATGCAATCAACATTTGCATTAAATATAAAAAATAAACAAATATATAAGAAACGTCATCTGAAAAAACATTGATGAAATCTTTGAAAAGGCTATTAAAACTTTATCACACTTATCACAGGCAACCAATTAGTCATCAAACAAATGTATTTAGGAACAGTAACTCATTCAGTCATCATAGAAGTGCCAAACCAAAACATAAACAAACTGATGTGTGTTATGTGTCAATTGTCAATAGGTTTGCTCGCGTTCAGAACATAAACAATCTGAAACCATCAGAAGCATGCGCAGTTCTATAGAACTCAAAAAATGCGTATAGTTCTGTGACTTCTGTCGAAATGCGTATGCTTCTCTCTTCTGATGGTTTCAGACTATTGATCTTCTTGACGCGAGCAAACCTGAAATTATCGTTACTTTCGGTGAAAATTATTATCGACATTATCGATAGTCTATCGATGTTTAGCTAAGGCGGGCACCAGCGTGCTGAAATCTGTGAGCCTGTGTAGCACACATTGACTTGGGACATCTTCTTAGGGCTCCAATAAAAGGAGATATTTTTTTCATCAATACTTTTATATGTTTGTCCAACTTCAATTTATCATCAAACCAAATACCAAGATACTTCTTCTCATCAGTTTGTTTCAAAGATTCATTATCAATTTCGAGATTCAAATTTATATTTTGTTTATTTTTTTGTTGAAAAATCATATATTCAGTCTTATCATTATTCATTTATGAAGGTAAGAATGCAGCCATTCTTAAAATTTCTTCAAGTCTCTATTAATTATATTGTCTAATTTTATGTTCATCTTTGCAGGCTAATCCTCCCCAGTTCGATCGAGCCGAAGATTTGGCATCCCTGCGACACCTGAACGAGTCCAGCATTCTACACACCCTCCGTCAACGGTACGCCACCAATCTCATCCATACTTATGCCGGATGCAGTACCCTGTTGATAATCAATCCTATGGCGCCGCTGGCCATATATTCGGAAAAGGTCAGTTCGAGTTCAGTGGTATCTGGCCCATATACCGATTATCCCAACTTCATTTATTTGCCCATTTCCTCGAAAACGGGTGATACTATCAATGTTCTAGAAAAGAAAGTGTGATGCACAAAAATTAGTCATTAAAACTACCCGTCGACAAACCAACCCTTAGCACACACCATTTTTTTTAAATTACACCCTCCTATTATTGTGGTATGTTTGAATAACTCATTAGCTTCCGAACACAATAATTTATTATACTATCCATGAATACGCCTTAGATAATGTCATATCAACTATTTATTGACATATCATATGAAGAATTTTGTATCCTAACGATAGAGAAAAGGGACCGAGGGAGTATTTATTTGATTTTGTAGAAAATACCACAGAACTATTAGAACAATACATCTGAATAAAACAAGATGTTCGAAGTGGCCACCGTTTCGCTGCTGACACAGATTTCACCTTTTTTTATGTTCTGGCTCCCAGGGTGATTGTGTATATTTTAGTCAATAGGCTATCCCACTTGATATTCCTCTTATAGGAACGTTCAAATGGGCAAAAGCGAAATATTTTTATGGGTATTCAGAATTTAGTACAAGACAATGCAAAAATTCAACATAAACTTATATTTTTTAAATGGAACACCCTATATTTCACTTTCCCAAACGGTAGAGCTTTTTCTTTCGCTTTCAAATAATTATAATAATATATACTTTATTGAGGTTATCTTTTGTCAGTATCTGAAATATATAGATTTTTTGGTATATAGATCTAAGGCAGGTGTTGAATGCCAGACGACAATGCTGCTATTTCTGGCATTCTACAGCTTCCTTAGAATCCACACTTTTCGAAAACTGACAAAGATAACCTCATTATATGAACTGTGAACGACAAAATTTCTGTCTTGTGAAATTTATGAATTTTGTATTTTGCTGCTTTTTAGTTGTGAACCAACTCTCTAGAAGTCGAAACTTGTGCGGGGTTAGGAAGAGCGCGACCTACAGCATATAGTGTAATCCGAATGTCGATTGATAGCAATAACACAATATCCCTAACTCTGTTCGATCAGTTTATTTGAAATCAGAAGAAACAGCTCTACCAATTAGGAAAATGAAATACAGGGTGTACCAATAAAAAAATACAAGTTTATGTAAAATTTTCAGGTTTACGATGCTTTTTTGCATTTCTTAGTACTAGATTCTGAATGCCCATGAAAAATAATTCACTTCAACCCAGTTCAACATTTGTTTGTGTAAGACCAATATCAACTGAGATAGCTATTGAGTGAAAAATAAACAATCACCCCGTATATTCTGCTAGAATGATATTTCGTGGCATGCTCGAATTATGTTGTCTTGTAGCTTAGCGAAATTATTAGGCTTCGAATTATCTCACTGAAAGATAAATCTGGGAATCGTGCTGTCCATCATATGGGGCCAATATTCACTATCCAGTTTTCCCCAAACTGGTTCTCCAGATGTCTAGTACATCAGCCGTCTGATTTATGATGATCGTGGACGAAATTCCTGATCCTGTCCTCGTAAGCTAATGAGCTACTCAAACATACCAAAATAATGGGTGGGGAGGGGGGGGGGGTGTAATTTGAAAAAAAAAGTTAGTGGTATGTGTTAGGGGGTGGTTTGTCGAGGGGTTGATTTAATGAATAGATTCAAGATGGCGGCAAGTGGTGGTTCGTCGGAAGAACCAGTCTCCGAGAGAAATTGTAATTACTGTAATAGAGGTGTGAAAGGAAATACAAGGTGCATCAAATGTGACAAGAAATATCATCCTGCATGTGCTGTACGTGTTAATGGGTTGAAAATTGTGGGTGCTGATATGTTAACCTGCCCGTCCTGTTCTGATGATCAAATCGAAGATGACTTACAAGTCGCAAAACAACTAGTGACTCTCAAGGAAAATAATAAGCTTTTAACTCATCTGCTATTACAAATGCAGGAGAATAAGGATTTAATGCAAGATAAAATCTGGGCCCTAGAAGATAGAATCCATCAATATGAAGATATCATTACTAAATCAAATGAAAAAGTAAGTCATCGTACAGAAAAAACGTTCGCTGATATCACCAAAACCAGTAACTGTAAAAACGATCAAGGTCATGCCTGTTGTCAAGCTCATGGAAATCGAAATAGTGAGAAGCTAGGTCTAGTAGGCACACAAAAGCTAGTATCCTCAGAGACTGGTAGTGTGCAGGTTAGGCCCATAACACCAAGAAAAGCTGAAGAACAAAAAGAAGAAGAAGCAATCAGGGTCAAATCCACTAAGGTTAAGGATTCCCATGACAACAAAAATGACAAAATAAATAGAGACAGAACTCGAACTCAAAATCATGTTCAAACTCAACAATACATTAAACCAAGTGATATAAATTCTGCAATCAAATCAGCAAACGAAGCAGCCATAATGAGAGAAATTCTAGAACTGGGAAATAACCAACCTCCCTCTGATGAAAGTACAAAGGATGGAGGAAACTGGGAAACCAGAAGAACAAAGAAACGTCGAAGATTCATAATAGGAGGAAATGAGGAAAATACTGGAATTGAGGCAGTTCCTAAATATTCTACCCTACATGTGACAAGGCTGAAGCCAGACACAAAGCCAGAAGACCTGGAAAAATTATTGAAGGAGCGATTCCCTGAGGTTCGCTGTGAACAGCATGCATCAAAACGACCTGATCTATATGCAACTGTTAAAGTAACAATCAGGAAAGAACACTACAGAGAGGCGTGGAAAAAGGAAGTCTGGCCAATTGGTGCCCTGGTTTCAATTTTTTTCTTCCCAAGGAGGATGCCACAAGTAAATGCATAAGTGGATCCTCGAATGTTCAAATTTGTACAAGTGACATAAACAATGAGGAAATTACTTCAAATATGAACAATTGTTCCAACAATTATGACCTTTTACTCTCCAACATCAGAGGACTAAATCAGCACAAAATTGATGAACTCATCTTGAGCTACTCAAACTTGAAATTCTTATGTTTCACAGAAACTTGGTCAACAATGGATAATATCTCAAATTATTGCATTCCTGGTTATAAACTTATAAACTTCTTTGGCCGATCCCAATTCATTAGAGGAGGGGTGGCTATCTATGCTCAACAAGATCTGGACACTAAACCAATTTTGTTATCCGCATACTGTGTAGAGAAGGACATCGAAATATGTGGATTGAAATGGCATTTTAATTCGCTTCAAACAATTATCTTGGTATGTTACAGATCTCCAAGTAGTAATTTCAATACTTTTTTTGATAATTTGAATCAAATTCTTGAAAATATGTTCAAACACTGCCTTTATATCTTTCTAACTGGAGACTTCAATGTCAATTCAATGACAGCCTATCAGGCTCTTCATTTTGATCAGCTACTGCAGTCATATGGATTATCTCCAAAAAACTTTATGCCAACTCGTGGTAGTTCTATTTTAGATCAGATCTACTCTAACTTTGAGAACTGTCATGGTGTGGTGGATATCAATACAGAATCGGACCACGACACACTTCTGCTAACTCTGAATATTGAAAGGAAGGCAAAATGTAGCAACAATATTATAACTAAGAGGATCACTAGCGACAGTAGAATTAACAGTTTCATATCTCACCTAATCAAGGAAACATGGCATGATATTTACTCAGCAGAAGATACTGAATCTAAATTCAATATATTCCATGATACATTGCTGCACTATTTTGATGCAAGCTGTCCAGTTAAAAAGGAGAAAGCTAGAGTAAAATCTAACAACCAATGGGTAACTAGTGAGGTAAAAGAATCATCTGATAACTTAAAAAACTTATATGTGCTCAAAAAATCTAGCTCTCTCTTTGAAAGTCATTACAACACAGCTCAAAGAGAACATAGAAACCTTATTAAAAATACTAAAAGTCAATACTATTTCAATAGAATAAATAACTCCACAAACAAAAATAAAACTTCATGGCAAGTTATTAATGAATTAAGAGGTAAAGATAACTCCCGCACACATATAAAAATAAAAGATGGTAATGAAATTCTCGAGGATCCATCAATAATAGCTAACAAATTTAATGACTTCTTTATCAAAATCCCGAAAGACACTATATCAAAGATATATAACCCAGATATTACTATCCAATATCCTAATAATTTTCAAAACAAAAGCATGTTTATTACTCATGTAACTGATAATGATGTGCTGGAAATAATAAAAAACAAAATAAAAAATAAACCATCTTGTGGTTTTGATGGAATTTCTGGGATAGTTCTGAAACAAATTGGACCTTACATAACTGCCCCTTTGGCTCACATCATAAACTCGTCATTTGCAGAAGGAAAATTTCCATCTAGGCTAAAAATTTCCCAAATCACTCCAATTTTGAAGAAAGATAGCTCCGAAAATATTGAGAACTATAGGCCATTGTCTGTACCCTCTGCAATATCCAAAATATTAGAATATGCTATGATTCATCAGCTTACAAATTTCCTGAATAAATTCCAAATAATCAGCGAAAATCAACATGGTTTCCGTACACAGCATTCTACAATGACTGCAATTATATCTTTCTATGAAAAAATTCTAGATGGCTTAGAGCAGGGAGAGAGTCCAACTGGCATCTTTTGTGACTTTACTCGCGCTTTCGACTGTGTTGACCATGACATACTACTGGATATGTTATATAGGTGTGGTATTAGAGGCAATGCTTATGATTGGTTCAACTCCTATTTGAAAGATAGACCTCAAATGGTCAAGATATCTGGATCTGGAACTTCTGCCTTTTCATCGACCAATATTAATGCACTAGGGGTTCCTCAAGGCTCTATTCTCGGTCCAGTCTTGTTCACCTTATATGTTAATGACTTACCACTAATTTTATCTGATACTTTTACGACACTATATGCTGACGATTCTACATTACTAATTAAAGATAGAGACTTCGCAAGCTTGCAAACTAAAATCGATAGTTCAGTTAATAGATTATCTGCCTGGTCTTTTGATAGATCCTTGTTGCTTAATGCTAGTAAAACTAACTACACAACCTTCCATTCTCATCAGAATACAAATATACCTCGATTAAATATCTGCTTAAATAAAAATACTATTAACACCATCGATGACGTTAAGTTTCTTGGAGTGTATTTTGATTCTTCTCTTTCATTCAAAACCCACTGTAGTAAACTATGTAAGATCTTGAACTCTAAATGTTACCAAATAAGAAACCTCAAAAGTGCAATGCACTTGAGTCATCTCCTAAAATTTTATTTTGCAGAAGTGCATTCCAGAATTTCCTATGGTATTATTGCATGGGGAAACACACCTGCAGCAACTAATGTATTCCTTGCTCAGAAGCGCATTCTAAGATGCCTAGTTGGTTGTCCAGCAACGCATTCATGTGTGAATATATTTAAAGAAAATAAAATTCTAACAGTCAGTGGCATATTCATCCTTGAGCTTATGACATATGTTCATCAAAATCAAAATTCATATCTAAAGAACTGTGACAAGCACTCGCACAATACTAGAAAGAAAGAGGACTACCATGTGCCATTCAAGCACCTGGAACTAACCAAAAGGTCACCAAACACTTTTGGTGTCCACATGTATAATTCTCTCCCACAAAATTTGAAAAATATTCGGCCTGGTCGCAAATTCAAACGTGCATTATCCAAACTCCTCATAGAACTTTGTCCTTACTCCATACAAGAGTTCGAAATAGCATTTAGTTAATCTATGGTGTAATCAATTTTATTTTATATTTTTAACTTTACATGTATTTTGTCTGTCTCTGCCTATATATTTCAAATCATTGTTACTGTAATAATTAGGAAAGTATTATTATTATTATTATTACTATTATTTGTTTGTTGTATATATAATTTTGTGTAGGTACTGCTATGTTGACTTATCCGATAACTCTTGTGAGTTCCGAAGGACCAATAAATTGATTGATTGATTGATTGATTGATTGATTGATTGATTGATTGATTGATTGATTGCAACACACTTCACGATTTACGATTTACACCCAATTCTTACGAACATCCACAAATGATTTACACACAATTCTTGATGGCAAGACATGTTTCGCTGCAAGTCTGATCAAATGATACTTTTTCGGTAACATGAGTGTGTTAGAAGCATGATCAACCCGAATCTGAAGTTTGCTGCCCTGTAGCAGTACCGGCTCAGGTCGAAAAATACGGAGAGCTGGTAGAATAATCGTCGTAAAGCATCAAACTTTGAGTTCAGTGAGCACGTAAATTTCAAAGTCGGATCAATATATACGCATATACTGATCATTTTCCATTTCCTCTCTATACGATCATTTGACCAATAGCCCATCATCAGCTAATCAAATGGTGAATAGTTTCATATGGAGAAGAAGATATATGATAGAATGAAACTCCAGTAGGCAAGGAATGGGTGAAGAGATGAGTGCTCGTTGATTGTCCAATGTTTTGTAAAAATAAAAAGGCATGTTATAGAATTATTGCTTTTTGCTTGATAGGGTCCACTTATCCTTGTATTAGCAGAAGTAGAAAAAAACTAAAAATATAAAAACTGTTGAGTTTTATCACACATGGCTACTGTATTTCGTATTTTCATTTCAAACTGTGTGAGGGAAAGTGAAGCAGTTTTTATAATATTCAGAATTTTATCGGTTTTTAAATTTATAGTTTCATTTGACGTTGATTCAATATTTTCATCTTATGTAATTTTCTATTAATAGAAATCATAGGTCCATAAAACAGATTTTATGTCACATTCTCTCTGGTGAATAAATGAATATGAATGAGAGCTTTAACTACTCCATAAAATCGATACTAATTTTTTATTCATAACAGATTTTCAATAATCATATAAACATAATATTTTATTTCACTATCCGTTTCTTTCAAGTACACACTTATAAATAATCTTGATATTCTTTGCAGACCCATTATAAAGTCAAGTTTTGGCAAACAATCGATATTTGGTTGTGGCATGATTTTATATAACTCCTTATCTAATGAGTCTGCATCATATGGGAACAACTTTTGATATTGATTTATTTTCAAATTCTTCTTGGTGTTACGTTTTGCAAAAGTTTACAATGAAGAGTTGTTTTTATTCCAATTTTACATTATGTGTCTCGAATTTATACGTTCTATACCAACTTTTAATGTTTGATATTTTTTCAATTTCTATGAAATGTCTGTAATATTAGAAAAAATAATAACTGATCATAATCGCTAATTAACGACTAAAATACAATTTTCCTCAAACAATAATAATTCCCGCTTAAAATTTCTATTATTTTTTGTTTGATGCAAAGTTGAAGTATGATCTATCATTCAGGAGCGAAAATTTCAATTTCACCAAAATGATGCCAAAGTCATCTATCAAAATATCATCAAAGTAATTCACGTATCTAACCAAAGTTTAGGACAGTTTTGTCGAAGTTGCATTAGATAAAATCAAAAAATATGAAGAACTAAAAGTTGCGATAGAACATACAAATTTGAGACACATGTGTAAAATTGTAATGGAAACAACTTTTCTTAGTACACTTTTTTGAAATTCGAACTTCGAACAAATAGACCGATTTTTTTCAGCGATTGATTTGAAAAAAATATAACTTGACATGTAGCGAAAGTCACGTGACTCCAACCGAGTAGGTCATTTTTCATCTTTTTCAAAGCAAAACTTGACGCCCAAGACGAATTTCAAAATAAACTATTATTGAAAGTTCTTCCCATATGATGCCAACTTTATGAATGACACTGTATGTCTTTCAATGAACAGACAATATTATAGACTACTAGGTTTCCATTCAGAACGAGAATGGTGAGGGGATATAAAGGATATATTCAATTTCAGGTCATATCTCTCTTCAAAGGCTGCAAGTCAGAAGACATGCCCCCTCACATATACTCCATGGCCCAATCGTCCTACCAAACTATGCTGTCCACACGACGAGATCAGAGTATCGTCTTCATGGGGCGGTCTGGATCCGGAAAAACGACCAATTTCCGTCATTCCATCCAATACCTCGTGACCGCTGCTGGTACAGTGAATAAGGTATGTATGCATGTTTATCATAGTTCAGCGGGAAAGCCATTTAACTTTTCAGCAAACATAAGTACATGTCTGACGCATTACAAATACATTTGACTGTTCCTACGGGGAAAAAGCGAGTATTATTTTCCCGGATATACAGGGTGTCCCAAAATTAGCCTTCCAAACTTCACCAGCTTTCCCAAAATTAACCTGCCAAACTTCACCAGCTTTTACGATCAAAAATAGAAAGAAAACTTTCGATGAACATGAGTCGAGAAATGTCTCCTGAGGGAGCTACGGTCCCCTGAAAGGGGGCTCCTGAAGATGATATTTCTTGAGTATTTGCGAAACTCCATGTGATAAAAAGATGCAATTTGGCACAAGAACTCAACTTTCCATGCCCAATGCAGTGAAAATAAAATCATTTCAAGATTTCACTCAGGAGTGTATAATACAGGGTGGGACTGCATCAAATATGGCTCACAATTGTTTTATGTGTATTGTTGGACAATTTAATCTCGGATTAGGAAATTCCGCAGCTCTCTACAGAAAAAAGGTACTCTTGTTCCGTGACGATTAAATGTATTGTTTTCGAGTGGAAATGAATAAAAAAGGGACACAAATTGAAGTAGTTTTTTCATCATCATTTTTATATTTTTCGCGCTTTTATGAGATTGTTTGGTAAAGAGAAAATACTTTATTTATAGCCACTTTGATTTGAAAATTGACAACGTTGTGCATAAGATGTGAGTGCATCAATATTTTTAAATCTATTTCACTCGAAAATGATACGTTTGATTAGATCTATGGTTTGATCGATGCGGAACAAGAGCACCTTTTTTTGTGAAACGGTGTGGATTTTCATAATCTGAGATTAAATTGTTAAAATTATGCATACGAAAAAGTTTGAGCAATATTTAATGTAGTCCCACCATGTATTATACATTCCTGAATGAAACCCTGAAATGATTTTATGTTCACCGCATTGGGCATGGAAAGTTTAGTTCTTGTACCAAATTGCATCATTTTATCACGTGGCGTTTCAGAAATATTCAAGAAATATCATCTTCAGGAGCCCCCTTTCAGGGGGCCGTAGCTCCCTTAGGAGACATTTCTCGACTCATGTTCATTGCATCTTTTCTTCCTATTGTTGATCAAAGAAGCCGCTGGTGAAGTTTGGCAGGCTAAGTTCGAGACACCCTGTATATCACATATTGTATGATGGCTCCTGTTGTTCTATAGTTCCGAAAAATAAGCCAATAACACCGTCTCCGAGAAAGAACTGCAAATCCTTTTATCTTCCATTTGACTTCACGGTTATGTCAATTACTAAACAACCACTAAAGTCGCAATTCCTCAAATTAAATCACAGAATTATACTGGCAGATATTTGATTACTTCAAAAGAATGATAAAGATACCTGCAAAAAGTTGTTTGCAACGCAGGTGTCATTCCTGTTGAAAACTTAAAATTTCACGTGATTTGATGATTGATGATTTTCTGATTTCAATATATTGTAATATCTTCTCAATATTGATAGGTCGTTTTTCCTGTCACAGAAGAAAATAGTGTATTATACCCGGGAAAATATTAGTTTTCAGCTCCCTCCGCTACGCGTCGGGAGACAACACAACCTGGAACTAAAATTTGCAACTTTTTTTCCCTTGTATAATAAATATTTTATATGGATACTCAGTTTAATGGTACCAACTGATAAGTATATGAATAAAAATAATATATTTGTTCATCTGAATTCTAAAGCAATTTAATTGTTTGTAAACTTCCATCTTGAATGTAGAAATAGAGGAATCATGATTTCCGGTATTTGGTCCTTGTCTACACAAATGATTTTTATTTATGTGTGTTTGCTGGGACAAAGGTTACTGTAGTGGAGAGGAGTATCAAAAATTCGACTTTGTCCTCTGAGATATTGGAGAGCCTTTTTCTCTGGAACCAATGACTCATAAGTTGTTTTTATTAAGATTTTACATATTCAATTGCAACTCTTAAATTTTGATATTTTTTCAATTTAAACGAAATTTCTGATGTATTAAAATAATTGTAACTTCGACAAAACTGTTTCATATCAGTAGATGCAGGCTTCTAACTATGAATTATAACTAATTATCGACAAAAATATGATTTTCTTCAGAAAATAATAATTCCGAATACCTGTTATGTTTGATGCGATGTTGAATGTTGATGTATCGGTAAGCATTCAGGAGCGAAATTCATTCTATTGTTTTTTTAGTGCTAGAATGAAGTCATCAATCAAAATATCATCAATCTACTTCATGTATTCAACGTGTGAAAAATCGGAATAGAAACAATCTCAATTGGTAAACATTTTGAAATTCGAACAAGTTATAGTTATTTATACAGCAAGGTACTAAATAATATCATTATTACCGAGGGGCCAAAATTATATCCCGAGGCTTCAGCCGAGTGGTATAAGCTCCCGTGGTAATAATATTCTCTAATGCCAAGGTGTATATTGAATTTTTTTCATCTCTAGCAATACATTTCAATTATTCTAGTTCTGTGAAACTGAAATATTGACGTATTGTCACTGTGAAAGCACTTTTCATCAATTATTCTACTCAAAATCTAGTAGCCATGACTCATGACCATGACAGCATATGACAAGTCATTATTTACTAGATCCGAGTGCCAATCCAGCGATTATCGGATCAGAACTATGAATTTAGGTTAATTACACCAGAGGTGGCTATGTCTTTATTGACTAGTTGTTCATAAAATGAAGAAAACTACCTTGGTAGCAAAAACACACTTTACACCTAGAAAAAATGTGAATAATGGCATGTTTTATTGCTAGTGGTGGAAAAAATGAATGTACCACCTCCTTGATTCCCCTACAGACAGTATTTGAATAAGCCTATTTTCAGCGATTAATTCGAAAAATAGAACGAGTAGACAAATTTTCATCTTTTTTGAAGCAAAACTCAATGCGCAAATCGAATTTCAAGCTGAATCATGTTCCAAAGTTTTTTCCATATGATGCCAACTTTGGAAAGACACTATACCACTTTCCACGCTTGCTATGTAACAACTTTTAACTCACCCGCAGCTGCTCTCAGTGGAGAAACTCACCGCCTTGTGGACAGTTCTCGAGAGCTTCGGCAACTGCAAGACCACCATGAACACCAACGCCACCAAGTTCACGCAAATCTTCAGCCTCGACTTCGACCAGAGCGGCCTCATCGCCTCCGCCAGCCTGCAAATCCTCCTGCTGGAAAAGACCAGGTCGAGTATTTGTCCGACTAAATAAGGTTAAGGTTTCTCGTGGTCTCCTTCGGACCTGAACAAACATTTCATAATATTTATTATTGGGGTACTTATTTGTTAACCTTTCGGGGGCTCTATTCTCGAGCGTTATTCGTATACAAATTCGATCTTTCATTTCACTTCAACATACGTCACATACATGAGTTCATCTGTCTTTATTTGTATACGAATTCAATTAGAATGGTTGAAAAATAGACCCCCAGAGTTATTGCTACAATTCTAGTGCTAGTGCTTTTCCTTTCTCTGATGAATCTCGCGCTAGTCTCCTAAATTAGGCCAAAGATGATCTGAATACAATTATAGGTTGGAGTGTACATCCGTGTTGTTGATGTTTGCTGCTGTGGACTAAAAGTCCGCGTGCATTTTCAGATCTTACTTCCATTCGTTGTTGTTGAAGGCGAGTTTATAGTTTTTCCAATGAAAACTTTAGTTTATGAAGTATGGGAATGGGAAATGTTTTCCGATGTGATCATAAAAAAACAAGAATATCTGCAGAATCTCCTAACAGAGTGTTCAAATGGAGACAATATACAAGAAACTGTTGAGTTCGACGTTAAGAAGATAATGTAGAGGTGGAAATTAATGATACTGATACTAGAACTAGAAGAGAAATTCTATAAAACTATTTTCCTGTCGGAGAAGGACCGCTCAAGAATTTTGAGTAAAATAGTGAATTTGGGATCACTTTCTTCCCAATTCAATTCTGAACATTATTATAAGTTGCACGAATCAACACATCCGCGCGAATCGTGATTACTAACAACGATACCTATATATGTTCTAAACATGTTCTGAAATCGATTTTTTCCTCATCTCTTGGAGCGCACGAAAGGAAATTCCTATAATGTTCGTGGAACATCGTGGGTACCTAGGGGGGATAGGGAGAGAAGATAGGTTGGCAAAGAATTCCAAAGCTCCATCAAATAATTATGGAGACGACAGAGTTTTTCTGTTACTTCAATCATAGTTGTGTTTGCTAATGTGAAAATAAATATTAAATAAAGAGTTGTCCGTATGTGAAAAACTGATTTCTATATGCATATTTCCATTGCGGACTCATAGTCCGCGCGCTAATCTTCTTGTGTCAGAAATCAGCACGACATCTGAAAGGTTAAATGTATGTCTGTTCCTACTACCGTTTGTACCATAATGATGTCGTTGATTAAATTTTGTCCCTTTTTGTAAATACTTGACGAGTAAGTAATCGACACTTTTTCATTAGCATTTTATATAGAAATGGACCTGTTTAAATGAAAAAAATTATTTCATTATTGTGAAGTACTAACCCTAACTAGTTCACTGTCGCAAACAGTTTTTTCCTCAGAGCTCTGTAGTTTTTCAAATAACTATTGGAATTCACAATATTTCATGACACGAAAAACGCGGGAAATCATCGTATAAGATTCGACTTACATATCAATTCCTCATTTCTGATAGACAAGTGCAAACATATTTATGATTGTCATTTCAATCAGAATATGGAAGGAATTTCCTGGATTGAATACTTACTGCAGATAACAGAACACAACACACAACTATAGAATCAGACAATATCAGGATTATCTTCGAATATTCGCATCTTGACTAGATGAAACAAGGATATTAACGTGAGGAAGTTAGGTTGACAATGTAGTTTGTCTTCTTTTTTTTTGTATTTCTGGGAACTTGGGCATTACACTGTTGTCCGTGCCGCAAAATAATATGTGATTAATTAAAATATTGTCATTATTAGGAATACTAGGGTATTTTTATTGGTACTGAAGCATCTTGCAAGTATATAAGTATTCATTAAGTAATTATTAGAATCCAGGTCGAACTATTATCTTCTGTGATTGTGAATACTATTGCGATGATTTTAAATAACGAATGTTTTGCTTCAAATACTATTTATAATTGATCAATATAAAATAGGTATGTGGCGTAAATCCGACTAGTATGTACTAGAGTTACTGAATGGCATTAGTTGATAAAGAGTTCGGACACAGCTGAACTTTTGTCCTTTTCTATATCACAATGGATTGAGTGAATGAAAGAATTAGACATATATTCTGCTCTTTGTCTTTTCAATCTCCCTAATAGCGCCTGATTGTCAAATACGATTTTAAAGGTTAGATTTTCTGTCAAATCAATCAGCCGTAAAAGGAAAATAGAAATAGAGTATGAATACCCACTCCAATTCATAGCAATACGGCACTTCGCACTACAATAGTTCTAAAAATGGAAAGAATGTATGTGACAACATTTCAATATGACAAAATAGAAGCTAGTTTGGTCGATATTGAGAACGCCATTCAGTGATATATCATGTTGCAGTTCACTTGATTTCCTCAGTTTTGTTCTAAAATTTTCAATTTCATGATAATTTTGTTTGGCATTTTGTGGGATGAAAATAATATAATTTTTAAATACCTAGTCTGTTTTGTAAATGAATGGAACAGTAGATTCTCTCAAACGGATCTTAAAATCTTCTGTTCTAAAATGGGCCTAAAATATAGTATCATTCTAATCTGCTGTTATGAGAAGTGAATTTTAATGTATATACCTCAAAAATCTTGCTTGTCTTGAAATTAATGCTCCATCTAGGCCGTTTCAAACATTCCTTCCATAAGAGAATGGTTGATCGATATTTCCTTTGGAGAATTAAATGAATGAAATCCATTCTTTCAGAATTCCCACAGTTCATTAGTTTATGAAATAGGTTATGAAATTATATTTCAATTCTGACGTTCATAAAATTGTCAAATTCAAACAATTTTGAATTAAAAAGCGCGGGACGACTATGGTGCTCTTGTCACAATGCAAGGCGTGTAACGAAATACATCTAAACACTCAAAAACACTAACAGTTGTCATTTGTGTGTCCGAACTCTTATCTAACTAACACCATCCAGTGACTCTAGTGTTTACCACCCCATTTCTTATTCGATGATAAAATCTCACAAGAAATACAAAATGTCTTCATTTGATTAAAGCAGGATCGTGAGGAAAATCGAGAACGAGACGACTTTCCACATGATGCACCGGCTGCTATGCGGGGTAGAGGGAACCCTAAGGAAAGAGCTGTACTTGGACAGCATGTCGGGCAACGAGACCAATGACTTTTTGAGCGTGCTGCATCGGCACGAGGACAAGCAGCGCGCGCAGCTGGAGTTCGTTAGAGTGTGCGCGGGTCTGAGCGTGCTGGGCGTGACGGAGAGCGAGCAGAGAACGATCTTTTGCGTGCTGGCGGCCATCTTTCATTTGGGGTGCGCTGGGGCTATGAAAGGTGAGTCTCCAAAGGAGAAGATAGCATTAAATATACTTACGGGAATGAGAATAGTATTGTTACGTTATTTGTGTGCAGAAGCGAACACGACACTATATATTTTCGAACTTATTCATTTCTTAAGGAACACTAATTTATATAACACTTATAACTACTATTTATGTAAAACGATGTATATCCCGTGGTATATGGCTGTCTCTTTGACAGGCAGCTGTCCGGCCATCCTTATTCGCGAGATTCACGAAGTGGGCGACATCTAGGTTACATAATACGAACTTCAAACTGGGGGAAAACAAACTGTTGTCTATGGATAAAGTGCATAGACTACATTGCATTCATCTTGCTGTAGCTGTAGTCAAACGCATCAATGACATAAAGTGTTGGCACTGTTGGTAGTGATGATGGTTGAGTTGGTTATTTTTTTTACATTATTACACTCACGTTTAGTGAACAGTGAACGGGTGAAGAATTGGAGATAGTTCAAACAATTCAAACTAATTATGACGAACAAATCAATTGACATATAAAAGAACAGCTACAACATGTTTACAATACCCAGATTGTCCTGCTTTGCATGAACAAATACAAATCCATCATTCTACAGGAGTTCCTCTGGACCCCAACTTCAATTTCACTTCATGTGGGGAAGATTTCATCGCCGAAGTTTGTAGACAAAGTGCAAAAATGTGCCTTTTATTGAAGCACAGATGTTGAAGTCTTCTGCCTCACACAAAATCACATGATTAGCACGGAGAACTGCTTCCCCTTCCACTACTGGTCGGCTTTTTCCATCTGAATAGAGCAAAATATCTGCCTAAAGAATATCTGCCTAAAGTACATCTACAACAGGCATTATTAGCGAATATTGACAATTGTCAAGAAATTTGAAAACTTATCACTCTTATCAGTACACAGTACACAAGCTGATGGCACTAATGGGATTGAGTGAGGATTGAGTTTGTTTTCCCCCAGTTTTGACGTGGCCTTGACATGGAACGATGAAAACCGAGCGCCACTTGGTAACATTGATTCCCGCGAATATATCAGATGCATTGATTTCTCGTACCCTTTCATTGTTCTGGAACATAACTTATCTTCCTAACTGTTCCATGGATTGCTTCTAGAAGCTTCGAGATCGCTTCGAGAATCCTCTGTCACGTTCTGACGTTGTGACTCATATTGGGTGTTCGGAAATACGCAGGTACATGTTAGAATCATTGGGATGTTTGAGAACAATCCGGGATGCGTGTTACAGGGTGATCGTTGTACTCCTGCCTTCCTGATGTTGTTTCTAGAGCCACTCTAAGAGGTTTATTACAGTATATTAGTCAACAAGCGCATGACGATATTTAGAACCGGCGAAGAAAAGGACAGACAAAAATTTTGCCAAATTGATCGCCCTGTAATTTGTTTAACTCTTGTCAAATCGTAGAGTTATGTTTCGTTATGTTAGCCTGAATTCTAGTTCTCAAGAAAAGCTGGTGGCTTGCTCTTAATATGTATAGGGAAAACAAAGGTTACTGTTTCACCTAAACACCCTGTGACTAATATGAGTAAATAAACTTAGCTTCATTATGTTTTTTATTGGAGTGTGATCCCTTCTCAACACAATGATTCTTTATTCACGTTGATATCATCTTTTAGAGAAAAGATACAAGCTTTTTAGGAAAGTATGGAATTTTTCAATTTTCATGAACAATAATTCAGAACCTACATCTATAAATAACTTATAATAACCCAATTGAAATTATTATCGCTTATTCTCGCCCCATTTTATCGGCACTCACCGGCAAAAAAACTTGAGTTACAATTAAAACGAACAAAAAGCAAACCCCTTGAATGTAGTCCTGGATATAGTCAATAACGAGTATGCTCTCCTCCACCTTGAATTATAGCATTCAACTGTCGTGGCATTCAGTTGATCAAATTTCTCAATTTGTCTCGAGGAATTTGCCTTGAATTCTAAATAAGGGTGAATCGTAGCTCTTGTAGAGTGTCTGGCAAGACCGGACGATGACGAATGCACCTCTGGAGTTCATCACAAACATGCTTTATAGGTTCTGTCAGAGAAAAACTGATATATCACACTCTGGATCTATGGAAACACTGATGTACATCGGTAAACATCCCAATAAATGTAAGTGGCGCACAGTGATGACCTTCTCTCCTTAGAGTCTAAGGCCGACTGTTTTGGACACGTCTTCATTGTGATTCACACATACCAATACGCTCTTATCACGTGTTGCATACTGGGCATTCTTGAGGTACGTTTGAAAAGCTTGAATAGTTCCATACATTTTCATAACACCAACTTGCATCTTCTCCTAAAACTCGATATCACAATTGATTACAGTTGCAATTCGCAGATAATTATGTTTACCTTGAGCTGGTGCCTGGTGTTTGTCATCCAGATTCTCTTTTCTGTGCAGGATGCTTCGCATGGTTCACATATATTTGAACAATATAGCCCAGCCTTCTTAAACCCGCACATTGCCGTTGTGCATCCATTCAGCATTTAGCCAGTTGAAGGAGTTTGTCAGGTGCAAGGTATTGGTTGAAAGTAATGGGTTGTAGGCCGTTGCTTGTTTGCCTCCATCCAAACTTTTCCGGCTTTTCTCATGGAACTTTCCATAGAATCCATCCATTGCTGCACATACACATAATCACGGAGAAAATGTTGGTTTGCTGCAGCTCTGATTGCGGTTACAGTGGCCATATGAGTATTTATAAGCTGTGTGCTTATAACAATTGTATCGCAGCTCATCTATCGGCCTTGCTTGTTTCCATCGTACAAGGCAGCTGATAAAACCTCCCTCTCCCTGGTTTGAAGTAGACGTAGGCTGGAGCTGATTATCCTATTAACAGTACAAGGAGTTCAGCATCCTTCCCTATAACATATACTATCTTCAGTGAATACCACTTCAACGTCATGCCTTTTTGTTGCCCTTCTTGAGTACCTTATCATGGACGTGAATGCTCGAGTTCATTGGAGCTAGAAGCTAAACTTGGTCCTTTCGTTTGAATTTCACTGACATGAAATCTCCATGAATGATGCGAATTATATCTACCCTTAGTATCGATATCTCTGAAGATCTGGTTATTGATTCTCTCCGCCGATAATTCTTAAACTGATAAATATGTATGCTGATGACCATTTAGGCCATTCAATCATTCAGCTTCTGGGATTCTCAATTCAATTGTTGAGTTCAACAATTCAACAATAACGATGAGATGGAGAGTATTCCCTCTACATATCGGGATTATCATCAGTAATATTTTCTCAATAAAATCATGATCCTACATATCATAAAACACTAGTATAGTTAAGCAAGCCACCTCCGAGGTGTACACATCTACAGGGACGCCCAAGTGAGTATGTCTTCTGTTAATTTGAATGGAAGTAAGTAGGGGACACGCTTCCTCAGTACCATCGATTAATTTGACCACTCATTGTCATCTATCATCACTTCGAGTTACGTAGATGAACTGGTCAAGGTTAAGCAACAGCGAAGTATACAATATTACCCAAAAGAGATCATGGGATGAGTTTACTCTATTTGGACTCGACGTTATCTATCAGAGGCTGAGTGCTGAGATATTACTCAGACTGGGATCTGATCCTTCAACCCGTTACTTCGGGCTATAACGGACGTGGAGGTCTGGTGATCTTCCATGTTTCCTTTTATTTCTGGAGATGTTGCTTCTTCGAAGGTTGGAAATGTTCTGAAAATATCGTGTCTCGGGCTGCTATTTATAGGCAGACCGTTTGTTGTGATTGTAGCTAGGCCCACTTCCATGGTTACTGATGTTCTTTTATTGAAACAAACCTGAATTTGACCCCATTTCAGGGTGCTCCCCTGCAGTATTAGGCTTCTAGCTGTGAACATACGATGTCCAAAGATCAGGTAGCTATTTTCACATACTTATAAGTCTGTCCCTGTGGTTCTACTTCAAATTTGAAGTGAATTTATGAACGTCTGACAGCGTCAAACGTTTGTGAATTGGTAGAGTTTTTTCCACAAAACAGACTCTTCCTGCCTTTGTAGCTGGAATAAATCGATACAAATCGAAGCTCAGATTACTAACCAAGTGTTCTGATGTAACAAAGCACAACACTGTCGAATCGAGTATCCAACAAGATCTTACTGTACTTGGGATACAATCCAATGTTGAAGTGATAGAATTTATGATCTCGTGACGAGGATTTAGTTGTTCCACCGCGCTATTGAAAGTTAGTGACGATATACTACGGGCTTCAGACCAAGGTAAATGTACGATCCTTATATTACTTGACTTCAGCAGGGCATTTGACACTCTCAATTTCGACATTATGTTATCACTTTTACACCATATAGGGTTATCTGCCGGACCAGTCACATTTTTCAGTAACTATCTGAAAGGAAGAAAGCAAGAAGTTGTGATAGGTGACTTGCGTTCTTCCTCATTGAATCTAAGATCTGGAGTGCCTCAAGGATCAATTTTAGGTCCACTGCTCTTTTCTATATACACCAGCCAGTTAATAAAATGTCTCAAATATTGCAGCTGTCATCTATATGCAGATGAAACGCAAATCTACTATTCATTCGACCCACATGCCACTGCTGAGATGATGCGCAATATCAATGAAGAGTTGAACCAATTCAATACCCTCGCCACTGTCCATTGTCTGATATTGAATCCCGGAAAATCTCAGGCACTGGTATTTGGACCTAGGAACTCAAGAATCCTAGTGAAAAATGAAACTAAAATTGAGATTAACTCGAATGATTTAAAAATAGTTGATGAAGCTAAAAACTTAGGTGTGGTTATGGATACAACTTTCCGTTTCGATTCGCACATAAATAGGATGATCCAAAAAGCATATTGCTCACTGAAATTGATTTATGGAATCAGAAAATTTATTACAAAGAAAATTAAAATTATTCTCTGTGAGTGCCTTGTCCTATCAGCCCTCAACTTTGCCGATTCTCTTTATGGTCCTAGTCTAACTGTGAGGAATAAACACAAGCTGCAAAAAATACAAAACTCGTGTCTGCGCCTCATTCATGGAGTGAGACAAAGCATTTCCTCTAAATTAGAGATTACAGGGTGGCTGAACGTGGAGCGGCGGAGGCTCTTACGTTCCGCGTGTTTATTCCACAAAATAATCAAAACCCATACTCCTTCTTACCTCTATAATAAAATAACCTTCAGGAGTGATATACATAACCTGAACGTCCGTTTCAGAGGGTTACTGTCTCCTCCTAATCACTTTCATGAATTCTTCAAAAGGTCTTTTTCATACCAGATCTGCCATATATACAACCGACTCCCAACCAGACTCAAGGACATGAATACGAATACATTCAAAGCTAATTTGAAACAAATTTTATTTGAGCAACAGTGTGCCTTCTATGAAAACTTCCATACTGGACTGGTCTAACGTAGAAACGATATGCTCAATGCTCAGAGGATTGAATTATTTAATCGAGAATCATATTATAGTCACGTGATATAAAGAAAACGATAGGAACCAATCGCCTCTATACCGTCTTTGAGTTGACATAATCAATGATATCGTTTAGTTCTATCACACTTTTTCACAATGACAAAGACAAACTTATAGACGATTATTTTCAAACAGTTGGGCATTGGCCTCTGCCTTACTTCTTTTTTTTTTGTGTAAACTTCTATTTATACTTTTTTGAATATCCTTATTCTTTTGGTATCAACAAAGTTCTACCTTTTTTTTTATAAATTTTATGCTACCTACGGCATAATTATTATAGGCTCTAGGGATGTGATATGATTCACCTACTCTATTCAATATTCCGTTCGCCTATTGTAGTTACAACTTTATAGTAATAAGCATAGTGCATCAATTTTTTTTTTCACTTCATTATGTTTATTTAGTACATAAGTTTCTAATGGTTAAGTGTAAGAGCAAAGCTACAGTGCCTCGCAGTGTAGATTTGAACTTCGCCATTTGGATTCAAAACTACACTCTTATGATATATATCTATATCTATATATGTATATGAATCGATGTATCACAGCTTTGAATCCTCTGATAAAAAATGAAACTACTCATAAAAATTGAAACCTCATCAATGGAGTCATGAAGTGAAGCACTATGATCCTCAAATATCAGAAATAAGAAAATGACTTCCCAGATGAATCAATACTATTGACTATGATGAAATATTCTACCAAGCAAACTGGCCTGGGTAGTTACAATATCTCAAAACGCACCAGGAAATTTTGTTGGATAACTCCAGATCCGGATTCAGCATATCGAAAAACATGGGGAACGATGATAAAATCGACTACTGGATTTTTTGCACCATAAAACTATCATTTGCCTGAATTAAGTAGATAATTTGTAGTATAATATTATAGAAAAAAATAAAATCGTCTTAGAAATACGAAATTACAGTGGTGGATCAAATTATAACACCCTTTCTAGATCTCACGAATTCCACTTTTCCAGCAGGCAACCACAGCCGCCACCAGTTCGCCCGGCCGCAGAGCGCCCAACGCGCTGCCGCCCTTCTCGGCACCACCGTCGAGGAGCTGTCGCGGGCGGTTTTCGGCGCGGGGGCGGGCACCCCGAACGGCTCCCGGCCGCCCTTTGGCGCCGCCTCGCCCGCAGGGGACAGAACGGGCAGTGAGGATGAGGCGGTGGGAGCGGAGGCGCTGGAGGGGATCGTCGTCGGGCTGTACGGGGAGGTGGTCAATTGCGTGGCCTCGTTGATTAATAGGTGGGTACCTCAGTCTAGGGTCCCTTGATGTAAATTGACGTATTTGTCATCTTAACGGACAGATCCTCGTCTCCTCTCACTCTGAAGTGTTTCTGTTATATAGTATACAGCTATACAGGGTGTTTGGTGCATCGTGTGCCAAATTGAAATGGTCGAATGAAGGGGTCATCTGCTATCCTTTAAGACTAGTTAACACCTTTCATGCCCTGTGGATTATTTTTAATCGTCTTTTTATCTGTTTATCAAAAAAGACCCAAATTCCACATTAAAATACATATTTTAAAAAAAGTATAAGGCGTAGACTCTGAATATCAATTTTATTTAGATGTGTATTGTGTTAGAGTACTTTTAAATACAAAACTAGTGACATAAGTCATCTAGTTTTTTTCTTAATTCACTCGCAAAGTTTCGAAATATGTTAAACTCAAATTAAAGCTGTGACTTTACGTGGCTAGAAAAAAAACCAAAAGCGACCAGGATCTTCCAACTCCCTCAAAAGTTCTCTAGTCTATCCTCTTGCTAATGATGTATCACATGCTATAAATATATTTCAACAACTTTGTAAATTCGTTCTTTCATCGTATCGATATTGTTACGTTATTCGGGTGCAGAAGCGAACACGACACTATTTATTTTCGAACTGATTTATTTGAACTATAGAAACACTAATTTATAACGAACTTATAACTACTATTTATGTAAAACGATTTATATCACGCGGTATATAACTGTCTCTCTGACACTCGCTGCTCAACTGACTGACTCAGTTGTTCGGCCGTCTTATATACATTGGTAGGCTTTGGTTCGAGAACGTTCTCGAATGATCTTTCGTCTCCTTCTTTTTGTTCTACAAGCTTCTCAGAACAATGCCTCTCTCTAATTGTTCCATCGATTGTTTCTAGAACATTCCAGAATCTTCTGACACGTTATTTGTCACCGCGGCATATATTGAGTGTTCGGAAATATGCTGGTGCATGTAGGAATCATTGAGAGGTTGGAGAACAATCTGGGATGCGTGTTACAGGATGATCGTTGTACTCCTGCCATCCTGCTGATGTTTCTAGAGCCCCTCTAAGGGGAATATCATTACAATATATTCTCAGATGGAACACCCTGTGAGTTATTAGATGAATAATTAGGGTTCAGTCGAAGGTTTTCCATTATATAGGGTCGACGATACCAGGTTGAATGAGTACGTTAAATGTAACATATAATTGAATTATAACCCATTATTTTCTCCGTATTACATTTATACTGAATGTGCGACTAGAGGCTTGGTTGACTTAGGAGGAGTATTTCCGCGATACTCCTTGAGCATCAATATAATAATCATATTGATACTCATTCGACAAAACCCTATCAAAATGATATACCACTTTGTTATATTTTCCATGAGTTCCATCATTAATTTGAAGTATTAATAGATATAATATATGGAACACACTGTATAATTGATCCCTGCAATGAACAATACTTCCAATAGTATCTCATATTAATGACTGTTTTGATCTTGATTATGCAGAATAGTGATTATTACCCAGAATACCGTTCCGTGTTGTAGAACAATGAAGAACAAATGAAAGTTTTCAAGTGCCTCTAGCGCCAAAACTAGCCTATAGAAAGAACTGTGCCAATTGAGCTTTTTGTTTGAAATGACTTGGACTATAACATATCAAAAATTCAGCCAATTCGACAGGGGGCCACTTTCCCTATTAAAGTGTGCGGTATCCTTTGGGTCTTTTTTGATGAATAAATAAAAAGACGATTAAAAATAATCCACAGGGCATGAAAGGTGATAACTAGTCTTGAAGGATAGCAGATGACCCCTTCATTCGACCATTTCAATTTGGCACACGATGCACCAAACACCCTGTACATATATCATATTATTACCAAATCATCGTTGTAATTAATGAATAAATAAAAGATACAAATACAATATTTCAGCTAGATAGTGTACCGTGTACCTCAAAAGTGAACACTCCCTTCCAGGTCCATATCATGCTCGACGTACACCGTCAACTCGATCTTGCTCGTCGACAGTCCCGGCTTCCAGAACCCGGCCACCTGCGGCCGACAAGCGGGCGCCTCCTTCGAGGACCTCTGCCACAACTACTTGCAGGAGCGGCTGCAGCTGCTCTTCCACCACACCAACCTGGTGGCGCCCAAGGACAGGTACCTGCAGGAGAACGTGGAGTTCGCGTTCGACGAGAACGAGAACGAGAACCTGATCAATCCGGCGCCGTTGGTCAACTTGCTGGACAAGACCGCGCAGAGCTCGGTGATCAGGACGTCGCAGACCGACCTACATGAAGGTTTGAAAATTGTATTTTTTCTACAAAGTGTACTTTTTTGTCAAATTTGTGACTTAAATGGACCCCAGGTGGTACCATGGGATGTTTTGGAACCGGTTTTATCTAGAGTCACTGGATGGTATTAGTTTGATAAGAGTTCGGACACAGAAATGACAACGGTTAGGGTTTTTGAATGTTTAGATTTATCAAGTTACACACCTTGCATTGTGACAAGAGCATCATAGTCGTCCCGCGATTTTTCATTCAAAATTGTTTGAATTTGACAATTCATTTTATAAACGTCAGAATTGAAATAAAATTTCATAATTATTATACTTTCGAGATAAAAGCAGCTATGGAAATCACTTGCTGTATAATAAATTGTGCCAATTATGGAACAAATGGATATCATTTATTAGATTTTCCAAATCAAATATCAAGCATTCGCTTATGGAAGGAAGATATGAAACGGCCTGGGTGGAAAATCAATTTGAAGACGAGCGGAATTTTTGAGGTACTCATTGAAATTCACTTTTATAACAGCATCTGATTAGAATGAATCTATATTTCAGGCCCATTTTCAAACAGAAGATTTCAAAATCTGTTTGAGAGAATCTGCTGTTCCAACAATTTACAAAGCAAACGATTTCGAGAACAAAATCACATTATTATCATCACACAAAATACAAAACAAAATAATCATGGAAAAAGGGGAAGTGATCGCAAAATTACATTATGAAATTGAACATTTGAAAACGAAACTCAGAAAAGCAAGTAAACTACAACGTGATATATTATTGGATGGCGTTTTTGGTGCTGACCGCGAATAGAAAATTCAACAGTGAAAAGTGAATAGATATTTATGTATCAAGGGAATTATTATAAGGGCCTCAATTATGCTGGAGGTTATCGTTTCGGAGATATTTTCTTTATCGATCCATGTTACTTAGCTCCTAGGGCGCTAAGTGAAGTTGCTGAGAACTTAACAAAAACCAAGTATTTGGTAGGTCTCGTAAATGATTTGTTCTCTGTATTTCAACACCCTGTATCTCCGAAATGAAGCATTCCCAGACACAAGCTTATATAGACTTTATTTCTTAAAATTGTCTCAGGGATACTTCACTGGAGTAAAGTTTCACATACAATAAGGAATTATAGCTATAAGTTCATCCATATGTATATATTCTCTGTATTAAAATGTTGTCACATGCATTTTTTTCATTTATATAAATCTCGCTCTGCTAGAAGTGTAGGTATCACTATGAATTGAAGTGGGTGTTTGTACCCTATATCCATTGTCCATCTACGGCTATGATTGATTTGACAGAAAATATAACCTCTAAAATCGTATCTGACAATCAGGCGCTACTAGGGAAATTGAAAAGACAAAGAGCAGAATATATGCCTTATTCTTTTATTCACTTAAACCATTGTATTATAGAAAATAGAAAAGGACAAAAGTTCAGTTGTGTCCGAACTCTTATCAAACTAATACCATACAGTGACTCTAGTTTTATCATACCAGAAGCAATATGAGATCATATGATACTATCACTTGCTAGACATAGCAACACGTAATAGAGCGATCTTCATATGGTCCTTTCGGATTTTCGATTTTGTGACAGAGTGAAATATCAAGTCGACATGGATCTACAAGCGTTTCTCGGGTTCATACTGAACCGTCTCAACGACGAGATGCACGAATTGATGAAGTTGCTACGAGGAGTATGAACTTATAAAAAATGCTGATATGTGATATTTTCAGCGGTCTGTTGAGATCGAAGCGTGCCGACAACGGTTGTAACAATATCACAGAGGTAAACAAATCCTTATATGCTCAGATAGTGGGGCGGCCATTCAATCTTTAACATGCAATAAAATCAGATCAAGACTGGTCTGTGATTGCCTTCAAGGCCTGCTAACCCTGGCTAACCATAAAAAGGTAACTCTTCAAAAGGTTCCACGGCATAAGGGAATTGATGACAATGAAGCAGCTGACGCTCTTGCTAGGCAAGGGTCTGCGGCGTTGTTTATGGAACCGGAACCTGTGTTCGGTATCCCCAAAACCTCAATACGCGGCTGGCTCGCAAGGTGGACGCAAGAAAGACATCAGGCATACTGGAACAATGCTCCAGGACAAAGACACAGTAAACTGAAGGTTGGAACACTGTCCAGAACAGTGACTAACGACATTCTGAGCCTAAACAGAAGTCAGATTAGACAAGTCATTGTCCCTTTAGGAAGCATATGCATCAAATGGGCATCTATACAGACGAACCCATATGCAGACTATGCAATGAGGAGGAGGAAACTACCACCCATGTAATATTGGAGTGCGAAGCACTAGCGCGTTGGAGATACAACCTTCTGGGAGCATTAAACTCTCAAGAGGCTTCTCCAACGAATGATTTGGTGAAGAGGCTGCTGAACCTGACCAAGGTAGCGAACCTGTTCATCTGAGTCAACAGCATGATCAGGAATACAATAGGCCCAAAGGCTGCAGTGTTTTGGGCTTCAAACCCTGACTGATCATTCTGCTATTAATCAATCAATCAATCAATATCACCGATGTAACCTACTATAGTCAGTTAGAGCAGTATTCACATGCAGTAATAACATAATATTCATTTCATTTTTTGCTATAATACATTGCATCTCATATGAATATGAATATATTTTATTAAGGTTTACAATGTAATAACATGGATAATCAGACAGATTCATATCTGGTATGAGATTATTCATGCCTTATTAAATCAAAGTTATTGAAGTGAACAACAGATACAAAAATAATAATAAAAATTATGAAATCTCATAAAAAGTACATTATGACATCAGATGACATGATGAAATAAATTAGTGAATGAGAAATCATTCACTCAGGTTTGATTTTCTCTTCGCAAGAGGATATGTTTCTTGACTTTAATTTTAAATTGGGTTATATTTTCGCAACTTTTGATATCATCAGGTAATTTATTGAATTTCGAGATTGCTGCGTGGGTAAACTTTTTTGACCAAGTGTAGATTTCGGCAGGAAAACTACTCGGCTTTGTCTATACTTTGATTCTGCAGGGTAAGGTATCTCAGGTTTAACGTGTTTAATTGCTGCAATCGATAAAAAAATTGAAAATATTATATAGGGGGAATATATTCAATGATATATGGAATTGTTAGTTATTGAACTCTGCCATATTGCACGTTTAGTCAGTTCATTGAGTACTACAACATACTTGGAATTCAGAGAATTTCACCGTGAACCATTTCACCTATAATGAGTGACGTTTTTTTTATTATTCTTCAGGAGACAGAAGAGGTCTGTTATGGCTCCTAGATGAAGAATCAGTTCACCCAGGTTCGTCTGACGAGTCCTTCATCGAAAGACTCTTCAGTCATTACAATGAAAGGGATCACCAGCTGTTGCTGAGAAAAGCTCCGGGAAACAATCAGTTCATAATTCAACACCTACAAGGTACCAATCCAGTGTTGTACAGTGCCAAGGGTTGGTTGAAGTACAGTAGAGAGAATCCAGTGTCTCGAGCAGCAGTGACTATCCTTCAGGACAGTTGCAAGTGAGTGTCAATTATTTATTCTAGTAGGGTGATTGATTTTGCATTTCCTGATTTCAATATCAGAAAAACTAATAATTGATTGTTGGCCTATTCAATGTTCGTATACCAGATATTCCCGATATTCTACCCCAAAAAACCTGTTCGTCTGGTACCATGAATAAGTGAGAAGGTCAGCAGTTTACAGACTTATTTATGGAAGTACAGGGTGGCCAACTAAGACTCCAGAGTTCGATTTCTCTGTTGTCTTAAGAATTACAAAGACAAAGTCATGTATGATGATTGAAGTAATAATCGAGCTTCACATTTCAAAATTTCTTTGAAATACACAGGGTGTTCCGTAAGGTCACAGCACATCAAATCTATGTTTTTTTCATTGGAACACCCTATATTTTATTTCATTTTTGAATTCTCCCTAAAGATCTGATTTCAACGACCCAACATACTTAGGGTCTAGCAGTGAAAGTTACTGACATATAGGGTGTGCAAAATCGAGATTTTCCAAGTTCAGAATTTTTTTCTGTCGAAACTGTTCATTATTCGTCAAAACGGTTCACATGTCCCTATCTCAACTTTTCACTCACTATCAATTGGTGTTCAATTGAAATTGATACAAGGTGGTCAAAAAATCTCAATTTATAATTTGTTTCAATTAAATGTCAGTTGAAAACCAATTGATAGTGAGTGAAAAGTTGAGATAGGGACATGTAAACCGTTTTGACGAATAATGAACAGTTTCGACAGAAAAAAATTCTGAACTTGGAAAATCTCGATTTTGCACACTCTATATGTCAGTAACTTTCACTGCTAGACCCTAAGTATGATGGGTCGTTGGAATCAGATCTTCAGGAAGAATTCAAAAATGGAATAAAATATAGGGTGTTCCGATGAAAAAAACATAGCTTTGATGTGCTGTGACCGACCTTACGGAACACCCTGTGTATTTCAAAGAACTTCTGAAATGTGAAGCTCGGTTATTACTTCAATTTTGATTCATGAATTTTTTTTGGTCTCTCAAGACAACAGAGAAATCGAACTATGGAGTCTTAGTTGGCCACCCTGTACAGAGTTTCTATGAATGATCGTAGCATCGTAGTAACCATTGGAATAGTTTTTCCATTTGCCGCTCTCTGCTGATGTTATTCATAGATATTGAAGCGACAGAATGTGTTCGTCTCCATAAGTGGAAAGCAGCGAATCGATGAAATATTTCAACGGTCACTACGATGCTGCGATCATTTATACAGGTTGTTTATCGAATCGTTACATATAGGGAAGGCAATGTTGTCGAATGCCATCCTTCATTTATATTCCTACATTTCACTATTTGATAAACAACCTGTGGAAATTGTACTGAAATGAATACAAATGTGATACTGAAACAACGAATCAATTTCATAACTTTAATGAAATCTTTCTGATTATTTTCATTGCTTCAGTTTCTATGATTGTCTTTGCACCCACAGTTCGAATAATTCTACTAATTGAAAAGAAAATGCTCCTTAGGCTGAGATTTACAATTCACTACCAGTAGATGACATAGCTACTTGTTACGATCAGGTATGAAACACTGACTCACTGAACCGACCAACACACCATGATCGTCATTATTTCCAAAACTACTTACTAGTAGGGTGTGTGTTCAATAGCAATTTCCCTAATAGGAGACAATCCTAAACAATAGATAATAATTCTTTGTGCAGTGCAGCAATTTTTTTAATTTAAAATTTATTTGGAACTAAAATCAAAAAGTCATTTCTAATGACATCAGCGTTGTTTTCTATTCCAAGTATGGTTAGATTACGTTACATCGGTCAAGTTCATGGTTTTCAGCTGAGGTCTTTTCTGCAAAAAAATCCTGTAGGCCAATCAAATAACCGTGAATATGTGGTACTCAAGTACAAAATCCATTCTAGAAATTCAAAGAACATTGGCAAAATCGAATAAACTTGTGAAATATAATAAAAGAGAAGACATTCTGTAATATGTATATAAATCTTGATTCATCACACTCTCAACTTTTGTCATGGCTTCAAATTGATGTCTGCCTGTCTATTCTACACAAATTTTATCAGTGAATTTTCGCCTCTGATTTTCACCCACTTCTTTTTTACTGATTGAGATGAAATTTGTCAGATACATCGTCCAGGGCGTCATTAAGTTGTTTTTTATGTTAGATTTTTGACATTTGGATCGAAGCTATAGTTCCTCAACATGCATATTTTCCATAAAAAATGAATGTCACTTCCGGTTTGACCGGAAATAGACCTAGGTGGAAAATTTCGAATGGAACGTTTCGATTTTATTACACAATTCTTCTCTTTCAAATCACATTTCTTTCAAAAAGTCATCCACCAATTCACTGGATGAAGAATAATGTCTTCACATTATTGCTGTTCATCAGTGTATATCTTTTCTTGCAGAGAAGACATCGGTAAATTATTTGTCACCATACGAGGACTAGGTGCTTCCAGCTTTGGAGGATCTGTGGTAGGACTAGATGGATCTCAATCACTGAGAAGGGCTTCAAGCATAAGAAGAACCTTCACTGGTGGAGCAGCTGGTATCAAGAGAAAAAGTGTTTGTCTCCAGGTGAGAAAAATAATAGTACTGAATTATTCACCAAAACAGTGAATGCACCTCTTGCTACTGATATTGCATTATTATGACTTGATTGATATAGGTACTAAGTGGGTCTCCAATGATTTGAACCATAGTGGAAGGAGAAGATGGTGTGCTCAACAGAAAGCTTAAACTCGTCTTGTTCTGCGCATGACGTCAGCTGGGATATAACTGTCATTGTTATTATTTGTTTTCGTGATTGATGTCTCGAACTTCAGATATTATATAAGTACTAAAATTGAATGAAATAATTTCGGAATCCCCACTTTTTTCGTTTCTGGTTATGGAAATTCCAACTAACATACAAAACGCACAGATATTGAATTTTTCTGCTTTTCCAAGAATGGAGACCTAATAAAACGATGGGAGCTTGCTGCCGACAGAATATAAACTCAAATAATGGTACCTACCTTATATTCCTTATATCCTCATTCCAAAGTATTCACCTATCATATCATCATCACATTCATATTACAGCACGTATTTCTTCAAAACATTTCCATGCAAAATGTTCCCAAACAACTGCGAAAGAACGGTTCTTGACTTACACACCTCCAAAAAATCACAAATATTTGAAACAAGATGCCATTCCTACAGAACATCTTCCGTCGAATATCAAGTCAGAAATAATTGAAAATGAATTCAAAACTCTCAATTTCTCACAAAATATAAATTGCAGCAAAGATTTGAATAACAAAACGGCAAAAATTGATACTCCTGTTCTGTTGTCGATGTCGGAGCAGAAGCAACGTCAACGTCATTAACTGCTGAATTTTAATCTGTCAGAATCGACACAGTAGTGGATCATTCAGATGGGATTGGCAATGCATGATAATTCTTATGTTTTTGCCATTTGTGATTGCGAATTACCTCAAGATCACAATTTACAGAATCAATGAAATAGTAAAATTGGAGCAATGGGTACCTGTTTATATAAATTGAATTATTCCTAAACAGATCCAGAAACTGATAGAAATTTCAATAAACATGATTGAATTCATTGCGCACGCCCATGGCAACGGTATCTGTCTGTGACTAGCAGCTGATATTGGTATTCCAGATGACGTCACATAATATGCGCGTAGGCACACCATCTTCTCCTTCCACTATGATTTGAACCATCATTGTGAACCTTCTTCCCTGATACCATCAGTTTTTTCAACTCAACAATAACTGTAATTTTTTGCAATGATTCCTGTCTGGTCTGAAATTGTTGTTCTAAAATTTTTCTATCCGTCATTCGGTTGCCCCCTTACGAGCAACCCTCAGAAGTCTTCGAGAGACTTGTGCGAGCAAGAAATGACGGTCTTAGTAACAACATTCATTTCAAAACATCGCATGTGATTATTTTAATTGGATCAAAGATTTTCACTATACTGGGTTTGACAGAAATCTCATTCACGATAATATGATCCATCACTTGGAGGCATTTTTCACTACCATGTTTTATATATCAGTTACTATTATGGAAATAACGCGATGCTTGTGCGTGTTATGAAATATAGTTATCTGTAATCGAATGCCGTAACCATGAAGAGTAAGTTCACTAAGTATTCATGTTTTTATTTTTTTTCCAGACAAAATTCACAATTGATGGTCTGGTTGAAACGCTCAGGCGAACGAAACTGAGATTCATACAATGTATTCTACCTCAACATAATGCTGGGCTCTGTGAGGCAAATGCTTCTTTGATGGCTGTGAAAACGACTGGAGGACTCTCCGACGAGTCCCTCATAAATGTTCCTCTTCTCAGATCACAGGTAAACTCTTTTATTTGTCTCTCGTTCTGTTTTCATCCTATTCCCATTTTCAAAAAATACAGTATGACTAAGATAAGGTTGCACTGCATTGAGATCTCGAAAACGGTAGGAGATAGGAATTTGCTTAGATGGGAAAAAGTTGGGCATTCAACAGCTTTCGTAAATTTTCTAAATCATTTATAGTTTTTCAGGATTATCGAAAAAAGTTTACTTTTTTCACCTTTCACCTAATTCAAATAGAGAAAAACGTATGATACTCAACAAGTTTAATCAACATGCACGAAATTGATCTTTAATGACCCCCTATTAACGATCATTGTGTATAGGCAACCAAATATGAATATACACAGCATCGTATCATTGTTAGGATATTTCTTCTTTGGAATTCCGATAAAACATTGTTGTCACTACTTGTACTTTGAACAAACGCGTCAAACCCATTGAGACATTTTTTCTCAAACAAGAATATTCAGACAATTTTTCGCATCCGAAGAATATTATAACGGATTCCATTGGCAGGTGGAGTGTTTGTGCACCAAATGTATGTTTCCTTATTACTGATATGTACTTGACACTGCTGTTTTGACTTTTTTTGTATATCAGAGTACGGACGCTATGACAAGCACTGGCAATCAGACATAACCACAAATAAATTGATGGAAAAAGCGGGAACTGACAGTACACGGACGTACATGACATAAATTTCAAAGGTTTGACAAACTGAGAGAATTAGGACAAAGATGCAAGTTTGTGCAGTTTCCAACTGTGAGAACACGGGAAATCAATTCACTTTATTCGAATTTCCATTGGATAACATAATTCTACAAAAATGGAAACAGAATATGATGCGGCCGGCATGGAATATAGGTTCGGTCCACAAAATTTGCGAGGTATTCAAATTTCTTTGTAGGAAGTTGAAGAATAGGATAGTATTGAGAGAAAGAGCCGAACCCACAATTTATAAACTGAGCGAGTATCGAAAAGAACCTTATTCCAATTTAGACTCTGGTTATTGCTTGTGATGGAATGATGGAGCAGAGGCAGAGATCACAATAGCCACCATGGAGATCATGGTCGATAATCTGATGATGAAATAGCAGCAACTTCCTGATTTGACTAAGTCAAACTTATTTCACATCCCTGTTCAACCAAGAATTTTTTAGATCATCTTCGCATACGAACTATTATAATAATTTTGTGAAAACATATAGTCACTTTGTGGAACTCTGATGTACCAGATATTGATGCATCTAAACTGCTCCACATTCGGAGTGAGATAAGCAAAAACTTCTATCATTTTCGAACCGTCATAGCTTTGGAGTGGATCAACCAATTTTCAATTCCTTTCAAGATTCTGATAGCTCATTCCATTGGGACAACGTCAGTATTTTTTTGTTATTCCACCTTTTCGACATGAAGACTTACTGGGTGATATCTGAAAATATGATAATTTTCGAAAAGTTTGAAATCACCCCGTTTCACCGGGAATTTTTTTCATGTTTCATTGAGGGCGATAAAATGACGAACAATCAGTTTTTTCAAAATGGTTTTGAATTCAAGAGGATTCATACAGGATGTTTGGATGTATGGAATTTTTCACAACATATTGCATTCTGATATGTTCAACCACCATAAACTCAACTTCGACAGGATTTTACATTGGCATATCTTCAACGCCATTATTACATAATGTGTTGTACATTTCTAGAGGATGTACAATAGTATATTATGTAACAAGTGTTATAAACGTCCTTTTAGTAACGAGTATTTTAAGAGCGGAGCTAGTGTTTAATAAACGAGTGTCTAGAAGAGTTTATAAACGCGTTACATACTATGCTTTTTCTACGAACTCCGAAAATTACATTGACATACCTGCTATTCCTGCTAACCTACAAAATAATTCGAAAGGTATGGAAATGGAGAACATAATACATGCAACTGCATGCAGTGGCGTAGCTACCCATGGGCTAGGCGGGGCAGTGCCCCGGGGCCCTCAAGCTCAGGGGGCCCTCCAATCCCTACCAGAAATCTCGATCTCGACCCCACTTCAATCATAACAACTCAGATGAGAGAAATCCAAAAGTTATGCCTAAGGAAATTCCCTTAAATTATTTCTGTAGGTTGGCAGTATTGTCAATTTGACGGATAGTGATATGTGCATTTTATTATTCATTGATGTGCGTTTTATTGTGAATTCGAGTTAAGATTTTTTTCGAGAACGGTTAAAAAAATAAAGGTGTATCAGGGGTAGATAAGCTAATGTCAATAAACTTTTTTGTACGGGCAATATAGTGGTTCAATTTTATCTGATTTTGCCACTCATATCATATTGATGTCCGTTGAGTCAATAAATCGTGTCAAATGTATAGATTTCGGCTACAGCTCATTGTGTAACGCGAAATATCGTGAAAAAATACAAGTCACCTGCATTCAGGTTCGCGGGCAGAAAATCGTTCATGGTCTCCACCGATAAATGTGAAATGTGGCAACACTAACGGTGATGATTTTTTCCTGGGATTCCCCAACGACACTTGTAGCGTATCATGTATGTACGCTGGCGTATCATTGTGTTTCTCTTTCCTTTTATTTTACTTTTAACGTCGTCAGTGAACAGTGAGTATACCTACCTAATCGAGCACAATTTAATTTTGTATTATTTTAAATGAATTAGAAAACTGAAATTATGGATAAAAAGAAGAAACCCAGTGGTGCATTTAAACGAAAACAACGCCAAGAAAGAGAAGAAAGTAAACAAGATTTACCTCAACTAACACAATCATGGACTGTTCTCCAATTATGTAAGGAAATAATGAGCAAATATGGAGTGCTAGAATGCGACCTAACGGAAGTATTAAGTATTTACAGCAATGCTATTATTCTTTACAATTCCTGTCACTTCTGCAGCAGCTGAAAGGTCATTCAGCAAATTAAAAATAATAAAAAATTATTTGAGAAATAATATTGGCCAAACCCGACTCCGACATTTATCGCTAATAGCAATTGAAAACTACACCGCCTCAAGCCTGGATTTGAACGAAGTCATTGATAGTTTTGCGAAAACTAAATCTGGGAAAAAAATATAATTGTTATTTAGTCAGTTTGTAGGCCCGACCTTTATATAATAAACCTTTGAATATTTCGTTGTATTATTAGCCAAACGTACACCAAGTATTAAGTGTAATTTATGTTGTTACTGTTTAATATTTTTATTACCTGCCCTGCAGTGCACAAAAAGGAGCATAAGTAGCTTAGCATTTTCCAAGTTTTTGTTCTAAAAAAAAAAATTTGTTCTAAAATTTGTTCTATTCGTCATTCGGTTTGTATATCTCATATTTTCATTTGATGAAACCTAATCAGTTTACATAGCAGTGGGCCCCATTTTTTAATCTGCCCCAGGGCCCTTGGTTACCTAGCTACGCCGCATGCAACCAGCGAGACACGTATAAGTGATATTGGTTGTAGATGTGTCCAGTCCATTGCTTACTAACCTTTGTTTCACGTTATTATTGTCATGCTTTGCGCAGAATAAATAAATTGTTCTCAAAGATGGACGCTTCATTTTGACACTTTTTTTTTTTTTTTTTTTCTTTTTCTTTTTTTTTGCATCAAAAAACAAATATATTCCAAATTAAAAAAACATATAAACATAACATAATAAATAAATAATGGTTTTCCACTTCATTCACTCCACAAGTGAGCTGGGGCAGAAAGAACGACTGGGGCAGCGTGCACATACTGGGCTGCACGTACTGGAGCAAGCATGTGCAAGTGGGGCAGAATATACCTTCTGCCTTCTGTACTGGGGCAGAGTATACATTGCTAAGATAACAATATTGTTATGATCATAATATATAACAATATTGCTATGAAGTTCTGTATTCTGTTTGCAGAGTAACTGCAAGACTGGTTATAAGTTCAAGTGATAGCAATATTGTTGAGAAATTGAGAATTTTTGAGCTGACAACACTGTTTTCAACTCATTCTTTAAGTGTTAGGTATCGATTTTGCCATTATTTCATGAAGAAAAAGAGTACATGATATTATCTAACCTCTCAAATTAGTCAGTCCAGTACTGACACTTTACAAAATTATATTGTTCAAATTGAGAGATTCTGTATTCCATGAATCTGGTCTTCGTTGTGCGACTGGTGCAAGTAATCAATCATATGTCCCCGAAATGAGAAAACAACCTAAAAGTCGGATGAAAATGATCGTGATTTTTTTTGAATATTCTAGCAAAATAGCTTGATGAACTATCCATCAGGCAACGGAAATAATTTTCTTGTTTCTCTGATATGCCGAAATTGTAGTCTCATATTCCCTCTATAAATGGGAACTTCAAGAAAAGGTTTTCAAGTAGTTGGTCACAGTAGTGAACCTATCCTATATGTTTGTAACCACCATTCTAAGTTTTTCAATAATTCTTCTACAAATTGAAACTTTGAGGAAAGGTCTTCTAGTAGTCAGTGACACAAGTGAACTCACATATGTTTCTAATCCACTATTTTCTGAATTTTCATACACTTGGAAGAATTTGTAGTGCAAAACAAAGAATCCACTACCTTGTTATAAGATAGCAAGCACAAAATTGATGTTGCCGAGATAGCAAGAAAATTGACCAGATGTCATTGAAATTGACAGATCATATTGCCAAAAATCGATGATTAGAATTCAACTTTTTCGAATCTTGCTATGATAGCAATATCTTCTCTACAACCATATTGCTATTTGCAAACAGAATCGACCCGATGACCTACCACTCTTGTACAAGTGAAATTGTTCCACACTAAATAAAAGTATGTTTCTTGAAATGTATCAGTTTTTACCCCATTCTGAACTTTCGTGATAAACATGAATGGAATTTTATATGTATTTCGTTGATATATATCATTTACCATCCATTGAGGTCCTTCAGCCTTATCATTCAATATTTCAAGAAGAAATAATTTTCTAATCAATTCATCTTATCCTTTTACCTCGCCTTTTACCCACTTGAGGAGACGCTATGCACTCTCATAGAGAAATCAAAGACAGAGAAAGATATATGGATGCACTCTTCCTAGGACTTGTGGAGGACGGATGATGCGAGAATCCTTTATCTAAGCGAAAAACATATTCTTGTCCTTGTCTGGCAAAACATATGATTTGCTTCAAAATCGTTTGTGGTTATGTTTGATTGAACTCTAGGTACAATATACACTCAGTGGAGAAACACTCCACCAGTTCCTGCCAATGGAATTCGCTATTAGTTTTCTCGAAAAAATGTCTGGTATTATAATTGACAATTCCTGTCATTTCCATGGCATACCAGGTGACGAGATGGTGTGATGGCCGTGACGGCGTGGTCTTATTGGTTTGGAAGGACCTTATATCGCATGACAATTTTATATGCGTTGTGGAATTGTAAGGAAAAATATCACTTTGAAGATTTTTTGAGTACCACGGCATTAAAGTTTGACTCATTGATCTTTTCTATATTCAGATAAGAGGCGGACAAATCTTAGATGTCGTTCGACTCTACAAGCAAGGTTTTCCAAACTTCCTGCCGCTGGCCGAATTCAGGAGAAGATTCCACCTTCTGGCAGGCGATCACAAGATATCCAGTCCTGTGCTCGATGAACGGAAAGCAGTGGAAGATATGCTCCAAGCTTTGGATTTGGAACTATCCAGTTACAGAGTCGGTCTCAGCCAGGTGAGTGATTTCACAATATTTCATTGGATTTTGTCGTCTATTACCTGTTGATTATGATCATTTAACTAGTGGGTGACTCCATTTTTGGGTTGTGATTGTGGTCACTTACTACCGCTTCCATATATTCATTTATTCATCATTTATTCATCAAACAAATAACTTCCAGTCCGAAGCGGATCTGGTATGAGGAAGTCGAGGAGGAAGTATATAATAATATAACTATTGGTGAACATTTTATAATTCAAAATACATCAACAATATCAAAATGGCAAACAAAGAATATGATTTGAAGAAAAAGCATATTGAAACAACATGACTAAAAATCATATCTAATTCGTTCAGAAATAATTAGTTTTTTCACTTTCTGTTTACCTATATTTCTGCAGTTTTTGATATTGTCAGGCAGTTTATTGAATTCGGTTAAGGCTGCATGTGTGAATCTTTTCTGTAAGGCGCTAGCAGCGTCAATGTGAAACAAGTATTTTTGTCTAGTTTCATGAATATGAATTTCAGAATTACTCATCAAAATAAAATACGATTTAAATTTTGTATTTATGTATAATATATAATATCCCAAAAAGGTGATACAAACCTACCACATATTCCTCAGACCAGAAAAATTCTATACAAGGAAACTTATCTCAGTACAAAGTTGTTGAGTTTGGCCGCTAGATGGCTCTGAAGTAACAATTTTCAAATTGAGTTTGCTTAATAACTCTGAAAAGGCTCATGAGATTTCACTCAAATCGGGTATGTAGGAATAGTTTCATTGGGCAATAAAACCTATATCACGATTAAGATGAATATCATTCCATGGGTGTAGAACCTGATTTTTTCCATAAATGAGCATCTATAATTCTAGGCCAATGGAATGAAGGGAGTTTGAATATGAAATTTAGATTGCGTAACTTGTTAACTACAAAAAAGGTACTCCTGATTGGATCCGATTCCTTTAATGGTTTTGACAAAATTTGAATTTTAGTAATTCAAATCATCAGTCAACACTGAAACGATTACCAGATGTTTCATAAAAATTATTCAAAATGTTCATCAAATTTATATGACGAAAAAAAATGGATACAAGCAAACTCACTTAGTACAAAGTTGCTCACTCTGAGCGCTAGACCTCTCTGTACAAAAAATAGCCAACAAAAAATAGCTGATAGCACATTTCAATTTATTTTGTCGTATACAGTGTCATTCATAAAATCGGCATCATATGGGAAAAACTTTTATTAATAATTCATTTGGAAATTCGACTCAAGCGTTGAGTTCAGCTTTGAATATGGAAAATGGACTACTCAGGCTTATATGTTTGAGTTTGAAGAGTTTAAGAAGAAAATATGTTTTTATTTCATCTTCACATACGTCTCTCGAATTTGAACGTTCTATTACAACTTCTATTTTCTGATTATTTTTCGATTTCTACGAAATATCTTCAATATAAAAAAAATTAACACCGACGTTACTATTCCATTCTAGTAGCTTCATCATGTTTCTAACTTCCAATCACTTATTATCGATAAAAATATGATTTTCTTCAGAAAATAATAATTCCCGCTTCAAATATCTGTAATGTTTGATGCAAAATTGATGTATCGTTTATCATTCAGGAGCAAAATTTATTTAAATTGATTTGTTCAGTACTAAAATGATGCCAAAGTCATCTATCGAAATATTACAAATCTACTTCACGTATCTAACCAAAGTTTAGGACAGTTTTGTCGAAGTTACAATATTAGAAGAAATCGAATAATATTAAGAACTAAAAGTCGCAACAACAAGTAGAAACAACTTTTCTCAGTAAACTTTTTTGGAATTCGAACAAATGAGTCAGTTTTCTTAAAATAATTTGAAAAAAATCAACTTTTGACAACACTTTCGATGTAGAGAAAGTCACGTGATTCCGTCCGAGTAGGCCAATTTTCATCTTCTTTGAAGCAAAACTTAACGCCTGAGTCGAATTTCAAAATTAATTATTCTTAAAAGTTTTTTCCATATGATGCCAACTTCATGAATGAACATGGACATTTCTAACAATTTTTATGAAATATCTGTTATTCGTTTTAGTGTTGACTGGTGCCTTTGGATTACTAAAATTCAAATGTTGTCGAAACCATGAGAGTAATCGAACATAATCAAGAGTACCTTTTTTTGTCGTAAACAAGTAACGCAATCCAAATTTTGAATTGCTACCCCCCCCCCCTCCTTTCCATTGGCGTAGAAGTTTCAGATGTTCATTTACGTATCATGATATGGGCTTTATGGCCGAATAGAGCTATGCTAACATACCAAATTTGAGTGAAATCTCGGAGTTAAGGAGCAAAAAGGATTTGAAAATTGTAACTTCAGACCCGTCTAGCAGCCAAACTAAACAACTTTAAACTGAAGTTTGCTTGTATCAGATTGTTATAGTCTGAGGAATATGTGGTAAGTTTTTTTCAAAGATAATTTAGGGACACCCTGTATATATTTCATCTGAAGAATACTTATCTCGAGGGAAAAATACAAAAAACCCAAAGTCGGTCGACCACAACCAAATTTATTACATAAGACGTGTGTAACTAGTTTCGGCACTCGGCCATCATCAGACACATAATATAAAGCACCTGTAAGGAACAACGATGAAAAAATACAAAAGCTACTGATGAGAGGAATCTTACCATGTGCAACAATAATTATCAGGTTGAACACATTGAAACGTGGGTTGTCAGCCGGAAAAAAGCCGTCCTAATTGTACAAAACTAATTTGTAGCGGCTGAACAACCAGAAATAGCTATTAACAATCTGGTTAAACATTAGAAAGAAATTCAGTGGGATTAAATTGAAAACATTTTTCACTCAAAAATTCATTGAGATCTTCGTATGTAGGCTGGCGGCCATAAGACAAATCAAAAACAAGCACCAGAGGGAGATACACATGACAAATAATTGACTCATTGACATTTTTGAAATTGAAATCAGACATACATAGACATTCTAAATCAAACAGGCAACTATTTAGGTTTAACTAAAAAGAGGAAATAATACATAATTACAAATAGTCCTAATTGTGAATTGTAAATAGAATTAATGACAGAGAGATAGGTGACCAGGGTTTGTAAAGAGAGGGTTTGTAAAAACGAATTAAAAAGAAGAATTTGTCTCAGCGCATCGCGTGCTATCGAAGAATGAAAGCTGCCTATGTCTGGTAGTCTGGTGAGAAATTGTGAGAACTGAGACTGTGAGACTCTAATTTACAGTTGAAACTGTAAGGAATAATGTGTATCAGAAAGGGTTAGTTGTGAGATCATGATGAAAAAGAAGATCATGATGAAGTTGGAGCCATACAATAGTTTGGTTCAAAGCACTATACCTAATACGAATTCACATATTATTTTACTCGTATAGAAATCGTAATTTTTCATCGCATACACGATTCGAAATATGTAGATAATAAAGGTTTTGGTAACCCCTGTTTTCGTTCTCGAAATCATCATGAATTAAATCAACACAAAAAACATTTGTGTATGAATGAAATGAAATAAGAAATGTACTGCATGACATCAATCATGCTTTTCAATCATGTGTTTGAAATGCTCGAAGATATGCCTCAAAATGGTTTTGCTTTTTTTATCTATGTTTAATAATGATAATAATTATACCAAGGTTCTTATATAGTATTTCTTACTTCTGATAGAAGCATCCCTGTATTTTCCATACTTATGAACGTAAGATTCTGAAATTTGCAGGAATACACAAAATGACAAAACTGGGATTATTAGAATATGATTGACAATATTCTCGAAAATGTTCCGTCAAACCTGGTGCATAGAGGATTTTTCAATATTTGCAGAATACCATTCATCTCACTTTATAACCAGATGTCACTATGTTTTTTTCATCACCGATCTAGTAGTCATGACCCTGACGTATTCATCTTCAGAATAAATTAAAAATCTCATGAGAATATGAGAAGTCATTGTTGAAATATTCATAGTTGAATTCATTGCAAAAATGTGCTTGTTGCTGTTGATTCGATCAGCAGTTTATATTGATATTGAGATGCTCACAATTTAATATGGTAGGTTTTAGTTCATACAAAGTCGGAGAGATGCGTTACTATCGTAATGTTTAAATGGCCTCTTGCCTCTTCATCGAAAATGAGCAATGAGTTGATAATTATTTTCTATAAAAACATTGAACAAAATAACTCGATGGAGTCATTTTTCAATTTTTATTGTCTGAATGGGCGTCATACCTACTATTCATCAATAAAACTAAATCCAATATCGGGGTAATAACTTTTCATTTAGTGATCTGGTTCGACAGCGGAAGAGAAAGCAAGTGGAAGTGAAATCATTTCACGAGTAGGTACCTATATGGCCTTTTAAGGATATTACAACATTGTTTTGTCGAAATGGCCAGACAATTTCTATTAATTACCGTTGATTACATACATCAGCAAATTCATTTATTATTATCAATCAATAAACGTCAATGATGATAGAGCGATAGATTCTGGGATCTAGTTACCCATTTGGAAAAATAATGACAACAATGAGAACACTAGGAGTTTAGTGTAGAAAAGTGAAATTTTGAGTTGATCTGTTGGTAGGTATATTTAATCACAAATTATTCTCGTTCATTATTTTCAAGTGAAGATCGAGACAGTTTACATTGTATTCCTTTTAGTGTTGTCATTGTTACAAAACATAGTATGAAAAAATCGATGGAAATTTGTAAATTTTCATCCTTGTCTTCAACCTAATTCGGCCTTCGGAATGCTTAAGCTTATAGACTGGTCGGTAGTGACATATTTTTTTAAACGTTTTTTTAATGAATGCAACTTTCAAGTGAAAGTGTCAACTTGTCCTAGACAATAGGCGAGCGGACAATTTTTTTTTAAAATTCTCAAATAGATCATCACTCAAGTACCTTTCAATTTCATATTTTTTAGAATTTTTCGGTCGATTTTTAGGTGCTAAAATCATCAATTATGCCACGGTGATTTTCAAACG